CCAGAGGAGACCCTTAACCAATGCCCACATACTGTTGAGGGTGTGGAGATGAAGGGGCCCCTCCGGGAGCCCTGCTCCCTCACCCTGGCCCAGAGGAACGGGCAGTATGAGTAAGTAACCACCTGATCCCACAGAGGAGGGGAGTCTGCCATTAACCCCAGCCCCAATGCGCGACCTCACAGCCATCCTTCTCCCACCAAGGCCACGCGGACAACAGGTTCAGGTCCAGGTGTGAAGCGCCAGTGCTCAGTAACAACGAGACTGCCCTGAATTTTAATGCCACCGGCTTGCCCGAGGCAGTGTTGCTCAATGGGGAGACTCAACCAGCAGGGAAGCAGGAAGCCTGGGTTCTTAGGAGCCTGCCCCTGCAATTGACATGTGTTATATAACCTTGGAGGAGCTCTGGTAGCGTAGTGCCTAAGGCACTTGACTGCTTACCAGAAGGCTGGCGGTTCAAACCCACTAGCTACTCCTCGGAAGGAAGGTTGAGCAATCTACTTCTATAGTGATACTGCCTCGGAAACCCAAGGAGGGGTCGCTATGAGTCGGGGGCGACTCGATGGCACATAATAACAACAACAACATATAACCTTGGCCAAGTCAATAAAGCTTGCTTAGTTTTCTCATCAGTTAAATAAATACATGAACTGCCTTACCTTATTGCCTTTGGAGTTATAACTGGGGGAATAGTAAATGAGAAAGTGTTTTTGCAAAAACTGAAAATTCTATAGAAATGCGTCATAGTAAAAGTTACAGACCTGCCTTCTCTTAACTCCATTCAACTGGTTCCTCTAGTGTCCCCAGTCCCCATTCCACAAAATTCAAAGATTTCAACTTGCTCTAAGGCATGCATAGTCGTTAATTCAGTTACGGTACAGTTGAGGCCTCACACTTTGATTTGACTGTGTGAGAAAAGGTAGTGAAATCTGTGCAAGTGTAAATGTCATTTGACATTTTATCAGTGTGTGTCACCTTCCACTTTGCCCATAGGAGCTACGTAAATACTGTTGAGGGATTGATCAAAAGATTATTTTGATAAGCTATCACTATAACTGCTAATCTCACTCACTCCCTTGCCATTGATACCTTATCTCAAAAATATCCATAGTGACCATGACATATCATAGGCCCCTATCCTTGTGTGCCCAAGTCACGTCCCTTGGGTGTCCACTGGTTTCTTGGCTTCAGACTTCTTCTGAGTTTAAGTGTTGACCCCTTAAATCCTGCCATCTTCCAATATTTGGTTCTGCCTAAAAACAATTTCTCTCAGCTGACTGTTTCATATTCTCCAGACTCTATCTGGCTTGTCTAACTTACGCAGACCTAGCCTGCCCTCTTCTGAGACTGTTGGGACCACTTTTAACAACATCATTTGGTTCTGTGAATAGCTCTTCCTTAGGTTCTGCTTGGTCAGTTCTGTTGATGTGGGAAATTCATGTTATTTTCCCAGTTTCCTCAGATCCTGGAAGACCAGTGTAATAAAAGCCAATGCAAGAGAAAAGTGAATAGAAACCTGGAACACTGCCTCTTTGAAAGGCTAAGGATGAGGTGGAGAGAACAATGGATTTAGAATCCACACACCTGTGTTGAAGTCTCAGTCTGCCACCTTTTTTGTGTGTGTGATTTGAGTAAAAGTTTACAGAGCAAATTCATTTTCCATACAACAGTTCATACACATTTTGTTTCATGAAACTGATTGCAATCCCCATAATGTAACAGCTCTCTTCCCACGTCTTCCCTGTGGTTACCTTGTCCATGTGTCCTTCTTTCCTATGCGTTCCTGCCCTCTGAGCTATCTCCCTGTGCAGATGCTGCCCTTGTGATCTCCTGTGGTTGATTGTTCTAAGGAGTGTGCCTACCTGGTATAATTGTTCATTTTGGGGGCTTGTCTGTTGTTTGGCTGGAAGCTGTGGGAATGAGTTCCATTCCAAGCCTGAAGCGTGACTAGGGGCCATAGTCTCAGGGGTTTTAGCAGTCTCTATCAGACCAGTAAGCCTGGTCTTTTTTATGATTTTGAATTTGATTTTACTTTTTTTTCCTACTCTATCCAGGATTTCCAAATTTGATCCCTTTCCAAGTGGTTGGCATTGGTAGCTGGGTACCACCTAGTTCTGATCTCAGGGTCATAGAGGCTGAGGTTCGCATGGTCCCCTAGTGCCTTGGACTAATCCTTTCTATGTGTCTTTGATTTTCTTCCTTTTTCTTTGCTC